GAGATTTCACGAGACATGAGTGTCAGGGCTGTAGAGATTTCACCAGACAGGAGTGTAGGTCTGTAGAGATTTCACCAGACAGGAGGGTCAGGTCTGTAGAGATTTCACCAGACAGGAGTGTCAGGACCCGTATTCATGAAACCGTTCTCATGCTCAAGCATTGAGTTTGTGCTCAAACCAACTTTCTTGTAACTCACTTAAATCATGTCAAACGATCAAAACGTCAAATGTAAACATTGAAAACAGTATTGGACTTTAAGTGTCTTCAAAGTTTTTTCCAAATCATTGACAAATTCAAATGTTATTATGAACTTATAACCGGAACAATAAATTAGGCTTGAACACAAATTCCATGCTTGAGCATGAGAACGGTTTCATGAATACGGGCCCAGGTCATTTGAGATTTCACTAGACAGTCAGCAGTGACATTTCTGTCGATATTCCAAATTCTAAAATCCCCATGGAAAGTGTGCCAGTCCTAAATATACTACGTGCCCCGGGCATCACAGTTCATCAGACGGCACGAACCACTCAACAACAAACAACTAACTCAGATTCAATGTTAGGTATTTATTTTGTTTACATGCGGATAATTACCTCTAAACCGGTATATAGAGTCGATACGGTGTCGACATATCCAAAGATGATGGAAATGACTGTATACGACACTTCTCAAAGAAACATGCATACTAGCAAAAGTTTTAAGTGTTAAAAAACAAAGAACGCTTACAGCATGAGAAATATTTCTGAATAATCAGGAAAAAATGACAACATGGGCCACAACGAAAGGGTAGCTTCGGTCGTTTAGGCGACCCATATTGTTTGGCATTCGATAAAATATCCTGTCATCAGTATGTGTGACTAATATACAACAAACAGCATCCCTTCTGATTTCCCGAAATGAATATGTTCAAGGTATAGACAGGAGGTCATTCCAGTCCTCGTCTCCTATCATGCTCCTTAACACTAGGAACGATTTTCTTGCATATTCCATTTTTCATTATCCGTTCCGGGGAGAAAAGATAAAGTAGCACTGTACACGAAATTTTAAGCAGGAAACTTGGAAGAATATCCTTTTCTTTTATAATAACAATTAAAATCGCGAATATTCTTTCTTCATAAACGGATGTATTCTAGAAAGGGGTTGCTGACAAAAGCCTCAGAGACATGAAGGAATCAAAACAGCACTTCAGTTAGAATGTTTAGGGTCGACAGTTTTAAATAACAATGTTCTAGATGTCTTATTAAGCCTATAAAATCATCAGAGAGAAGTAAAAGAAACACTTCATTATTTATGATTTTTAAATATACATTGCATGATAAACCAACAGGAGCCTTAAACCCTTTCACCACCATAGACCATAATTGACTCATCCAAATAAATGTATGGTAGAGTCTACTAAAGTTACCTAGGGGTGAAAGGGTTAAACACTTTGCGAGATTTATTTTTTTACTGAAAATAATAGGCTGGTTATGAATTTGAATTTGATTTGAAAGTAGAAAATGCGAAAAAGATACCTAAGAATTTGGTTGCAAAGCTGTTTTATGTATTAGAAAAACTTTCACCTTCAAATATGTGAAAGAGAAAAATGGATAAAAAAAATGAAATATTTATGATTTTAAAAATATGCATGCAGTACCATTGGGTAATATATTTCTACTGGATGGATGAAGCAGGTATGTAAATATAAACATGTTTTTCGTACAGTTACAATAACTATATTTAAATTGTATCTTAGTATTAGAAATAAATGAACAAAGAATGAATTTGAATCGACAAATTAATCCAAAAACTAGGGAAAATGTTTGTAAAACATGATGTATTAAGCCTCCTCGAAGCCAAAAAACCCTTTACCTTCGTGATCATCTTTACATAGCCTTGTCATACGTTAATGCTGATGGCTTCATAAACAACTGTAATGAACTATTTTGGTCCCAGTACTGGAATAACATCCATCTAAGATGTAGTAAATTGGGTTATATTCATCACTATGAGATATTCCGGGGCAGTAAAAAAACAAAACTCGACAGGGAAATGCCATATATATAAGTTAGCATGTAACGGAATTTCTCAGATCAAGCTTGATGAAGTACTGGTCAAACCAAACCTGGTACCCACTGTGGTCAAAACGAACAGTATCTACACTGGTCAAAACGAACAGTACCTACACTGATCAAACCGACTGGTCAAAATGAACAGTACCTGCACTGGTCAAACCAAACCTGGTACCCACTATGGTCAAACCTACCAGTACCTACACTGGTCAATATGAACAGTACCTGCACTGGTCAAACCAAATGTTGTACCTACACTTGTCAAACCAGCCTTGGTCAACACAATTAAGATTGGAAACTATTTATTCGTCAAGTTTCTGGTACCTACATGAACTGTACTGTCAACACGGGCTTTTAAAATCATAATAAAATGAAAGTCAATTAATGCTTATATATATATCCAAACATCCAATAAGAAAATGCGATGTCTATATTCTAAATATAGTAACCAATGGTATATACTGGTTTCTTTAATCTAAATATAGCAACCAATGGCAAATGGTGATTTATTTCATCTATTCATAGCGACCAATGGCAAATGGTGGTTTCTATACTTTAAATATAGCAACCAATGGTACATGGAGGATTCTATAATCTAAATATAGCAACCGATGATATAGGTGGGTTTCTACAATCTAAATATAGCAACCCATGACAGGTAGCCTGTCCGTAGCTGATCTATATATACATCACAGCAGCTACTAGCGACTTGTATGCCTACAATTATGTCAATAAAAATTATATTTAATATATCACAGATGCTTAGAATATGAGTTCAAGATAAAATCTTAACTAAAACCTTTCTGTAAAATGACGAACACAACAATTACATAGGGGTGTGAGGCTACTGGGTCTAACATCATCATTCACAATACAACTCCTTCTTCATTTTGTAGGTAATTCTAAAATGATGCCCCGCTTCTCCGGAGAGACGACTTTTGAAACAGTCCTAAAACGGAAAACCACAAATCATAACAGACAACATATCCAGCTTTTTTTTTATCAAATACAATCAGATTCTGACATTAATCCTTTCACCACTGTAGACCATAATGGACCCATCCATATCAATGCATGGTAGAGTCTACTAGAGTTACAAAGGGGTGAAAGGGTTAAGAAAATCAAAGTCCTACACTAAATTAATAGTTCAGAAATTCATTTCTTATTTAAAATATAAATTTATGATGGCACATTCCCATTTTTGCAATGAAAGTTTTAGTATTTGAGATAGGAGTAGCTTAATTACATCAATGGAAACTATCACAGCTTTGGAATTTGTACAAGTTGATGTATTGGAAAACTGAAATAGATCTAAGATACTTATTTCACACAAGCAGGAAGTTTGAATATCACGAACCCATCACAGTCTGATCATCAACAGACAACAAACATACACTTTGGAATGAAAATATAACAGTAATAAAAATAATAGTTTATACATATATAATCACAGTATAAATAACAAGAGGCCCATCAGATATGCACTGCTCACCTGTCTCAAAAACAAGCAAACTGAAAATATGTTACCCAGAAAATACCAGGAATTACACGAAAATGGTAAATATTTGTTACAAATTTTGTATTATGTAGATCGTATGGCTATCAGAAATAACATGGATACTTTGTGTTCAGCTGGTCAAGAAAAAGAAAAAAGAAAACAAAAGATTTCAGTTTGTTCTTGAAAATAGCAAGTATTTTACGATCATGCTAGAAAATATGTAAATATTGCGGCCAATTAGAAAAAAAGTAACATTTGTTGTCCAATTACTCAAAAAAATAATGGCAGCAGGCAGACGGGCAGACACAGGCAGACGGGCAGACAGACACAGACAGAGACAGACACTGGGTGCTGCAGTTAGGCATCACTCGTTTTACCCGTAGGGTCAGGCTAAAAATAGATTTGTGTACACAGCTAGATCTAACAATCAACCATCATACTGTTAATAAACATGTCATCAAACTCAAAAATAATGAAGATGTGGACTATCGATCCTGTCCAGGACAGCAAGTAACAGGTAAACATGTTACATGGTATATACAAGTATGGACGGAGAAAAGTAAATGAAGTTCATCATTCTATGGACGGAGAAAAGTAAACGTAGTTCATCATTCTATGGACGGAGAAAAGTAAACGAAGTTCATCATTCTATGGACGGAGAAAAGTAAACGTAGTTCATCATTCTATGGACTGAAACAAGTAAACGAAGTTCAGCATTCTATGGACTGAAATAAGTAAACGAAGTTCATCATTCTATGGACGGAAACTTGTAAACATAGTTCATCATTCTATGGATTGAAACAAGTAAACGTAGATCATTCTATGGACTGAAACAAATAAACGTAGTTCATCATTCTATGGACTGAAACAAGTAGAAGTTGTTCATAAATTAATGGACTGAAACAAGTAAACAAGATTATTATTTATATGTATGAAAAATTATGTGGACGGAAACAAGAAAACGTAGTTTATAATTCTAGTTACTAAAACTAGCATATCTACAGATCAAGTCAACATAGCTCATAATTGTATGGACAGAAGTAAGTCAACATAGATCATAATTGTATGGACAGAATTAAGTCAACATAGATCATAATTCTATGGACAGAATTAAGTCAACATAACTAATAATTCTATGGACGGAATTAAGTCAACATAGATCATAATTGTATGGACGGAACTAAGTCAACATAGATCATGATAATTGTATGGACAGAATTAAGTCAACAAAGCTCATAATTGTATTGACGGAATTAAGTCTGCAGTTCAGCTAAATCTGCGATATGATGTCAGGAAGAAGTATCACAGGCAATATCGTAATACTTTGATAACCTGTTAAAAAGGTCTCAGAATTAAAGCTTAAATGGCATAAAGATATCACAAATTTCTGGTCAATAAGGAAACATTTCTGATGAGAATTTTTAGCCTCTTGAATACAGTCATCATATTTATATTGGAGCCGATCCACACTGTAATAACAGAATTTATTATCAATGTACAATGAAACCTGTCAAATCTGACACCTGAGTATTCAACCACCTCTAGAGTAAGAAATTTTACAACCTCTTATCTCTTGTGAGATCATCCTCTTTAATGATTTTCATTGGAACATACAACTGGTATATATTCTTTTTTTATGTTAAATTGGTAAAATATTACTAAAACGTATAAAAGGTGCTTCAATATTTTCTTATTTATGAAAACAAAAAGAATTCTGTGTATTGCTGATTCTGATAGAATAATTCTGGTGTTCTATCATGCCTTAACTCATTCACCCCTGAAATTTCATAATGAACTATTCCAACCTTTGAAATGGAAGAATTCAAATGTGTTTTCAGGGGTGAATGAGTTCATTGCTCAATTATTTTAAAACAATTCTGTGTAGTATGTAGAAGGGACAATAATAAATTTTATTCTACCCGATGTTATCAATGCATCAGACCAGACCTTTCGCTGTCCATGACATCCAGTGACCAGACCGTGAATTCTTCTTGTCTGGTCATCACTTAAAAAGTCTCTTGACCAGTGGTCTAGAAGTTACTCTGACTTTTCGATACAACTATTGTTTTTATATTTTGGCACAAGTGAGAAAAAAATATTTATATAGTACAAAAGAATACAATATATATGGTTGCACACAGTATAACACAGATTTCCACCTGTTTGTATATGTAGAACTATTTACATGTAGCTTTCCTCATTGTTTCAAATCATACAATATCTCTTTTGTCTTTTCACAGTTATCCCCCTTTGTATTCCAAACAAGTATGTGAATTAACTCATTCGCCCCTTAAACTAACTTCATAATGAACTATTCCAACCTTTGATTTGGAAGAGTTCAAATGTGTGTTCAGGGGTGAATGAGTTTATACGAGACATAGATTGGGAATAGTTATATCAATCGTTCCTGGTTTCTGTCTCCTAGGTTACAAATATGTGATTTTGATCAGTACCACTATCAGTAGCACCTACTGAGACACTGTGTCCTCACACTTACCAACAGACGGTCAAAATTTAAACATGTACATAAAGTTGGCATTTAAGTCACGGCAAAAGTGCTGAAACTCTTATCCAAAAAAACTGCATGCTTTCAATACCAAAGGTATTGGGTTTGTCGTTATTGAAGTAAATATTCAATAAAATATGAACAAAAAAATCTAGCAGATTCTTATTATGTTGAAGACTAAAACACTAAACGATTTTTTACGAGGACCTAAGTAAAATATGATCTTATTTATACAACTAAGGAATCATTTTGTTTTAATTGCCAATACAAAATTTAAAATATGGAACTGGTAATATGAATGAAAAAGTACAAATTATTTTAATTGATGAACTTCGATTAAAGTTAAATTCTACATTTACATTTAATCTAGCCTAACATTTTTTTTTAAAGAATATATTTTTGGAATGATAATGTTTATTTCTAATTTCCTAGGTAATTGACCGACTAAAACAGAGACCAATACCAATATCTCACGATCAAGGGGAGATAACTCACAAGGAACAATCTCCGGATTTAAATGTCCACAATCACGGTAAATTTCAAAACTGGACTTTTTATACATGAAATGATACAAGTAACCTTATAAGATATCTAATAACTGGTTTAGTTTATAGTTACTGCGGGAATGTGTTTAATTTACTGGAATACAAAGTGTTAGGACTCAATGAAGTCTCTCCATAGAATAATGTTCAGTAACTGACAACACATGTTTACATTGTTATCAACTAAAATAACAGAATATCATCAGCGACTCTCATGTAATGATCAAACAAAAATGTTGTTCATGGACGGAAAATGGTGACTGATCAGAAAGGTATTCACATATAAAATGATCGCAAAAATATAAAAAGTTGTCTATGAGTGTAAATGACTTGTACCCCTAAAACAGTACATAAAGAAAACATTGTATCTCAAGTCGACGACTCGGCAAAATATCAAAAATGTCTTGACCTATTTTTAACAGTGAAGAAACAGTTAGCCCCGCCTCTCCTTGACTTTCATATAGGAATCATAACTTGTCTTAGCCAGAGCCTCAAGTTCGTTTCTTGTTTTCGTCTTGAGTTTTTCAAGCTCTGCGTTGTCGGTTATTTTTCCCATGTCTCCGTTGTACATGATCCAGGGGTGTGACAGGGTGTCGATGGCCGTGAAACGTTTCTTCTTTTCTACGATCAGCAGGTGCTCTATCAGGTCCTTAGCACCTAAAAGGTAATGCAAATTTAACATTAGGTGTCGGAACATATACGCAGTTCTTAAAATCTAGAAATGAGTTTGAGATAAAATATTGAATGAAGTTTTTCTTTTCTTAATGTGTACGAGCTTGATCATTTGATTTAAAGATTATCAAGATGTACACTAACTAGCATACAATACAGTAACTATATTTTGGAAAATATTAACAACAAATGTTTTATTGGCAAAAAAATGTTTAGAAATTATGTACATGTATCCTCCCTTATCCCGATTGCTGCAATGTATGTCCATCTGGAGTCGAACTAGCTACGCCCCCATGATTCCCTCCATCTCTGGAATCAGATTTATCTCCCCCTTCCTCCTTGACAACATAACCTCCTCCTATAGTAAAACAACTACATGTATATCAACCTCTCATTTCCAAAATGCCCCCTCCCCACTACGTACTTCACCTAGAGTAAACATGATTTCCCGACCACAACCCCTCTATCTGGAGTCACTGTTGAAGTATTCTGTGTTACCTCTAGATATCTGGTCCCAGTAGGGACTCAGGAATTCATATTCTCCCGCCTTGATGAACTCAAACAGCTCTGTCTGGTTTCTGTCGGCACTTCTAAAGGGAGGGAATCCACATAAAAGGATGTAACAGATCACGCCCACGGCCCACATGTCAACCTCCAGGCCGTAACCTAGCAACAGAATTGAACAACAGTAATTACACAATGTCAACATTATTTCATGCTTAGAAATTATTTTGATTACAGATAAGAAAAAGGGAAACTTATAACACAAGGGAGATAACTATGTGAATAAAATTAATGATAATTCTGAATTACACCGTGTTATAATGTTTCATATTTCTGCACAAAAACTTATCGCAGGTCATAGAAGTCTTATTATATGCTCAAATCTGTATACTGCTATAGAATAAATAATTAACATTTTTTGAGTATATTTCCAGTGCTGCATATATGAAGTGCAACACTAAGAACAAAAACAGAACTTTACCTATTTCTGAAAGTATTTCTGGTGCTACGTAAGTCGGAGTACCACACACGGTGTATATAGGGTCCTTCACATCCATCGCCAAACCAAAGTCTGCCAGCTTCAACGTAATTGTGCTGTCTTTGTTTCGATGTACCTAAGGAAACCAAGGGTATTACAGAATAGGTAGGTATGCTGTGTCGATCAGATTCATTGTGGAATTTGATTATGATAATATTTAACAAATTTTAAACTTGTCAAATTGTACACACTATAACACATATATAAAAGAAAACTTGAAATTCACTCCATGTTGTTACACTTGAGCCGGGGTAAATATTTGTGGTTTTATCATTCACAGCGTGTGCAAGTCTGATACCTGCATTTGAGTCAATATTTGTGGGTTAGAAATAATGAAACTTTGGTCAGAAACCTATAAACCATGTTTTGGGCAGGGGCATGTGTGTGTGTGTTTTACTCTATTTTTAAGGAAAGTGTCATGTTATTTGTAATGTATACTAATTTTTCCTTTTTATTTTTTGTTTACATCATTCAATCAAAACAGCCTGTTTCTGAAAACAACTTTTGTATTTTTTTTGTGTGTTTTAACTCATTCACCCCTGAAATTTCATAATGGACTATTCCAACCTTTGCATCGGAAGAGTTCAAATGTGTCTTCAGGGGTGAATGAGTTAAATTTGTTTGCACCTGATCAGCACAAAATTACATATTCTTACCATATATTACTGAATATCACCTGATCTGGACCAATCTCTGGTTAAATATTTGGCATGAATACATTAGAGATTAAAACATTTCTGTTTATAGTTTGAAATAAATAACAGGCAAAGACAATAGTTTATAGTTTGAAATAAATAACAGACAAAGACAATAGTTTATAGTTTGAAATAAATAATAGACAAAGACAATAGTTTATGGGACAAAGACAATAGTTTATAGGACAAAGACAATAGTTTACAGGACAAAGACAATAGTTTATAGGACAAAGACAATAGTTTATAGGACAAAGACAATACAGAACACACTTACCAAAAGGTTTTCTGGTTTCAGATCTCGATGTACTATTGACCGTGAGTGGAGATAGAACAGGGCGTTACATAGATCCTTGACCATGTGGGCCGAGTCCACTTCTCCAAACTTCACACTCTGGGTGATGGCATCAAATAAGTCCCCTCCCTAGAACACAGAGCAACAAGTCAACACTGCAATCATGACATAAACCTCATTTCGTCCTCGAGACAGGTGTATGATGAGAGTAATAGAATCTCTCACCCCCCTTGTGGGTGAGATAGAGGAATCTCAACCCGAGGGGGAAGATTCTTAAGTTGCCAAACACGAGGCTTTGCCGAGTGTTTTGCAACTTAAGAATCTTTCCACGAGGGTTTAGATTCCCCTATCTCACCCACAAGGGGTTGAATGATTCTTTTTCTCTTACCCTGTTCACCCATTGTGTACCATATACAAAATGTGATGTTAACTTCACAGGCTAAGTTCAGGGTTGACGTGACGTTGATGGATTGTTGACGTGACGTCATTGTATTGTTGAAGTGACGTCATACCATTGTTATGAATAGGGGAATCCCCCCCATCTCAACCCTAGGGTGAGACAGGAAATCTTACACCGGTAAAAGTGTGGATACACCTGTCCAGGGTAAGAGAAATAACTATTCTGCGACACTTCACAGGTGCATTCTCGATTTTGACAAGAAATTCACCCGCTCTAGATGATGGCAGGGTGCATTGAGTACACCATTACAACATGTTTGCAGGGTTAGACACTAACTATTCTTGCTTGTTAGTCCACAGGACTAGTTGAATAGATTATTTACTAGTCCTTTGTCAAAGTAACAAGTCCAAGATTTCCTGATATTAGGAAACATCGCGATCTACAGCACGAAACATCAACAGTAGGGGACTTAAAATAACTACTGCAATAAAAATATGGTGAAGTTTTAGGAAAATTTTGACAATTATCATGCATTATATCTTATTTTAAGCTGTTTTCTGAATTAAACAAGCAAATTCTTGGAATTTAATTATCTCCCGCTTGCAGGACATATTGTAGGCTAACATTATTGAGGTTAGGTTTAAACATGCGAGTATCGTGCTGTTGAGACATAATGTATAGCTTGATACTTGAAGAGAAAAAAAAATATATCCCTATACCTCATTGATTATACATAAATATGCACAAATCACATCGGTTGACAAACTTAGCATGAGTCGGATGTGCATACAGATTGTGGTTGAAACATCTGAACAATATCTACAGCAATTATCACACGAAAACCAAAGAGTGCCCGAGATGGGTGGAGAGACAGGGGAACAAAAACATTGTTATCAAGTTTGAAGGAATTTGGCTAATATTATTGACTAGAGTTATTAAGCGGAAACTGCTGATAATGACATTTATTCGTTAATCAAGGGGCCATTACTATACCAAATGGAGTCCAATAAAAGTGGTTGTCTAAATTGGCTGAGCCCTTAATGTGTTGAACCCTGTTACTAAGTTTGAAGACAATCGGATAATATTTGCCAGAGTTAATAAACAGAATACGGCAGATAATGATGTTTTTCGCTATTCAAGGGGATATAACTCCGCCAAATGGCGTCTGCTGAAAGTGGTCATCGAACTTGGTTGAGCCCTTAAGGCATTTAAGACCAAGTTTGAAGAAAATCAGTTAACATTTGTTGTAGTTATTGCACGGAAACGAAACGCAGCAGATGACGTTTTTCGTTATTCAAGGGGCCAAAACTCTGCCAAATGGGGTCTGCTGAAAGTGGTATCAAACTTGGCCGAGCCCTTAAGGCATTTAACCCTGTGACCAAGTTTGAAGAAAATCGGTTAACATTTGTTGTAGTTATTGTATGGAAACGAAGCGACTGGCAGATAATGACGTTTTTCGTTATTCAAAGGGCCATAACTCTGCCAAATGGGGTCTGCTGAAAGTGGTATCAAACTTGGCCGAGCCCTTAAGGCATTTAACCCTGTGACCAAGTTTGAAGAAAATCGGTTAACATTTGTTGTAGTTGTTGCATGGAAACGAAGCGCGGCAGATACTGACGTTTTTCATTATTCAAAGGGCCATAACTCTGTCAAATGGGGTCGGTTGAAAGTGTTCATCAAACTTGGCCGAGCCCTTAAGGCATTTAACCCTGTGACCAAGTTTGAGGAAAATCGATTTACATTTGTTGTAGTTATTGTATGGAAACGAAAGGCGGCAGATAATGACGTTTTTCTTTATTCAAAGGGCCATAACTCCATCGAATGGGGTCCACTGAAAGTGGTCATCGAACTTGGCCGAGCCCTTAAGGCATTTAACCCTGTGACCAAGTTTGAAAAAAATCAGACATGTGTTGTAGTTATTGCAAGGAAACGAAGGGTGACAGACTGACAGACAGACAGACGGACAAACCCAAATTAATATCCCCCGTTTCGGTGAAAGCGGGGGTTAAAAAAAAAAATATTGTTATTTTATAATCGTATTTTTCACAAGTCAAAAGGACCAGTAAGGTTCGGTGCTTCACTTAAGTCCTTGCTGAAATCTACTAGTCCAGGACTAGTGTTAGTGTCAACCCCTGATTTGTACGGTAGGAAAATGTGTGAGAAATACAGTCAATCACTCGTGTTTAATGCAACTAGAGAAATCTCAACCCTCCGGATAGGATTTTTAAAGTTTAGCACTCAGCAGAGCCTCGCTATAAACTTCAAAAATCTCACCCTCGGGACGAGATTTCTCTTTCTACTTCACACAAGAGTGAGAGATTCTGTTATTCTCTCATTCTTTGTGTGTATAAAAGAATTGTCCAGGACAAGAAAGGGTTGCAAGACATTTTCTATCTTTAAGCCCATTTCACTATTGCCTGACATCACATTGAGCCAACAATGATGTAACATGATCAACAAATTGGGAAAACTCTTGAAATTGAAAAGGCTGATATATATAGCTTTAGAGTCATGTAAATTAAGTCAAAAATATGACATTGTTGTTCGTATATATTTGAGAGTGAAGATGGCAATAGGTTATCACCATATACCACTTGACTCATTACATGCAATACAGATCCAGTAGGGATATTACATTTCGTTTTTAAAGTACAACGCACATTACATTCTCAAGATATGGACGTAAATGTCAGTTCAACACAGTCTGCCATTTACAATAAACGTGGAAAAATACAAAACTACACCATGTGGCCGACTTTACCATCAAGTGAACAAACAATACCAGCTAAAACATAACACTACATTCCTCTGCAGCATATAGCCTACCTTGATATATTGGCCTTCATTTAGAGATTTTAAATACCCGTAGCTGTTTTGACATTTGGAGATGGAGATTGATGGCAAAACACATCTTTTATTTAGGGACATATTTTGGATAATAAATTCTGAAAAAAATTTGAACCTTTTTTGTCAGACTTTTGGCAAATAATTAACTCCTCAACAGGATATGTACATCATATCAACCATGAATGGTGGCTAAAGGGTCAGTCAAAACTACATTCTGGAAATAAGAAAAAAGAAAAAAAACAGGTCCAAGAATGTGGAATAGGAAAATCCAAAACTGCTTAATCACCTTAAACAAGCCTAAATATCTGAAAACACACCTGGTGGAAAGACCTAATCCTTACACAACAGTGCCTGAAAAAGTTAAATATATTCTAATGAGCCAGATAATTGTAGCACTGTATATAATTATTCCCACTGAGTTTGAATTATTTCCAGCTCAAAATAGACAAAATACTGTATACTGAGGGATATTTTTTTATAACTACAGTGGATATAAGTAAACAACATGATATACATAGTCATTTTCCTGTGAAGGGTGAAATTTACCCAGGGTGAGAATCAAGTTTATGGGAGAAGGCCTAAAGGAGGCGCGGTAGTCTAGTGGTAGCTAGGACGTCGGGCTCATGACCGAAGGGTTGCGGGTTCGATCGAGTCATGGCACGGCACTGTGTTGTATCTTTGAGCAAGATACTTTACTCCGCTTGTTCCAGTCTACTCAGCTGTAAATGAGCATGTGGTTGGGCAGTGCTAGAATTGTTGAATGCTAGCTGTGAGCACCGAAATGACAGAACCGGCTGTATGCTCCCCAGAAAGAAAGATATTGGCTGGTTGCAAAGGCCCTATAACCCCGGATAATAATTTGTGGACTGCTTTGAGACAACCTACGAACTAGGTTGTGATAAAGCGGTATATAAGAACCTCGATATACAGTATACCCAAAAGTATTATTTCCCAATATAACCACATTGTATTGTAGAATTTATCTCCTTTCCAAGGAAAACTTGATAATTCAGGAGTAATGAAATTTACAATTAAGATGGAGCACCTATGGACCTTTTCATTAAATGAAGAGTATTTGATTGAGTTCATTTGATTATGGAGATGAAGATTTTTCAAATATTGGTAAATTTTGCATTTGGCACCCTAGCCTGTCCTAGCTGACCCCTGTGAAAGGGACAGGAACCCAAATTCTACAATTTGATATCCTTTTTTGATTAAGACGATTCTTACCAAGCGACTGAAAGAAAGAAACCCATTCTGTGGTTCTTCAGAAGTCTGAACAATGTAAAAAAAAGTTTATAAACGATAGACACTGACAGATAAAAATCAAATCGCAGAGAGTCACATAAGCATTTGCCTCAGTTGTCCTAAACCTAATAAGATAACATCACGTACCTTAACAAGCTCCATGACGAGGTAGATTTTGTCGATGGTTTCGTATTCTTCGTAAAGCTTGACTATGTTCGGGTGTTGACAGTCTTTCATGATTTCTATTTCATTTTCCACCATATGTTCCTTACCCTTTAACTTTGCTTTGTCAATAATTTTCATAGCAAACTCATTTTTAGTGTTTTTAAGTGTTGCTTGCTTCACAATGGCGAAGTTGCCGTCACCGAGAGTTTTGCCGAGATCGTATTTACTCAGTATGTGACTATCCCCACTAACTTGACGCTCGTACTTAGTTTTGCGTACAATCTTAGATTTTGACTTTTTCTTTCTCTGCACTTCTTTATCACCTCCTTCTTTGTCATCTTTTTCACTTTTTCCATCTTTTTCTCTATTTTTCTCTTTCTCCTTGTCAGCCTTTTCTCGTTCCGCTCTTTCCTTTTCAGCCTTCTCCTTTTCAGCCTTTTCTGCGGCTGCTCTTCTCTCTCTGGCCGCTTCTAATGCCCTATCTCTGTCCTGTTCGTGTTTCTGTCTTTCTCTTTCTTCTTCCTCTAGTCTCTTCTGTCTTTCTTCTTCCTTTTTCCTTCTTAGGTCGTCTTTGTCACGATCTCTCTGCTCCTTTGAGCGTTTGACCTGTTCATCTGTCCCTTTGGGAACCAGTCCCCTCTTTCGTCTTTCATCGTCCATTGTTCGTCGTTCAGCCTCCATTCTGTGTTGTTGTCGTCGTTTAGCACGATCGCGTTCCTCATGCGCTGCCTTGTCTTTGTCCTTTTCCAGTCGGTTAGCTAACGCATCGTTTTTAGGATAATCATGTCTGCGACGTCCCTTCTCGACCGGACGACCTTTGTAGATGATGTAATCATTGCCTTCTAGGTCACGATTACTTCCGTCGCTTCCTTCACCGAACCCACTGTCCCGCTTATCGTTCTCCGCCAGCCATTTCCGTTTTTGTTTTTCCAAATCTTTGATAATCATTCTAGCTGTGTGTGCATCCGGAAAATCGATCTCCTCTATAATGTCAATGAGATCTCCCCCTGATAGTTTTTCGATACCCACTGCCACAAACACATTTTCATCACGGAAAAAGTCTGAAATTCCTTGAACCTCCCTGCCCCGAATCGTGTACAGTTTTTCCATTTTGTTATTCCTGTATTTAGGACCGAAAGCTTCAGAAACATCCAACATGAGTTGTTCGAATGACTGTACACTCCGTCGATTAAGCAGAATCTTAATATTGTTTCTGGGTCGGGCACCATTTCGTACAATTGTGATTACTTTGGGCTTTACCTGTCCAGAATCAGCATTCTGAAGGTAGGAACCTTTGTTGGCCGTACCAAATGCCCCTGGGTAGCGACGATGCCCTGTACTTTTTTGGAGATAGGGCCCGGGCTGAAATGCCCCATACGATCTTCCCCCGCGATACGATCCATGTCCATACATGGCACCATCGCCTTCAATGTCATGGTTATGTGGCCGCGCTGCAGAGAGAACAAATGACAGTTAATTATGGAAAAAAAAGTTTTTGTATTTAATACTTATTACATAGTTTTATATTTCTTTGTAGACTTAAATATTAAGAATGTCATTACAGCACAGAAAAATCTTAAAACTTAAAACTCCATATAAAGGTTTTTTTCTGCCATAAAAACTGTTAACAAACGGAAAATAATATAACATTGAAAATGTATAAAACCAGATAGAAGTCTTGTATAAAACACCTAGTTTAAAAGGTTAGAACCCTCCACCGGTATCAAACATTAAAAAGAAAGAAGGTTTAGTAAGAACAATTCATATTGCTGCTGATACTGTCAGTCTGGTAAAACTGAACATAGGTGATGGACATTTTATAGTGGGGGGGGGGGGGGGGGGGGGGGGATGGTTTTCAAATCAGCAATACCCAGAAATTGCTATTAATTAAGACTGCCTATAAGAAATTTGGGTGGAATTTTTAAGAGCTCCACAAAGTCTGAAGCTGGCCTCATGATCATAAACCAGACATTTGTCAGAACATTTTCTCTATGTCAGTAGGTATGTATCTGGAATTCTGAAAATATGTTCAATACATAACAAAGAAATACTTGAAATACTATCATGGAGATTTTTCATTCAACAAGAGGCAAACTCCTATCAAATATTGCCAGCGAAAAGGAAAAATGTTAGCACTGTTGTAATTTCTTTTCTATTTTAGCCAACAAACAGTCATCCACTAAACTTGGCTGTTCATTGCTCAGCCATGGCTGTTGATAACTCAGCCACTTAACTTGGCTGTTCATTGCTCAACCATGGCTGTTGATAACTCAGTCACTTAACTTGGCTGTTCATTGCTCAGCCATGGCTGTTGATAACTCAGCCACTTAACTTGGCTGTTCATTGCTCAGTCATGGCTGTTGATAACTCATAACTATGGCTGTTTCTATGTTCAGTCACAAAACTATAATTGTACAATACAATAAGCCTTTCACAGCAAATCAGTGTTTTGATACAGTAATTCAACAAATATCAACCAACACAGAATAGATACATATATATAGATAAGTACACACTAATGTAGCAGCAAGAGCCCTGTATCCAATCAATTAGGTGGAATTGTTATTACTTCGGTTGTGATAGCCTCCCTTGTAATAACTTCCCTTCTGATAACCTCTCTTGTGATTACAGCCATTCTGATAACCTCCCTTGTGATTACCACACTTCTTATAACCTCCCTTGTGTGATTACTTCCCTTCTAATAACCTCCCTTGTGATTATTTGCCTTCTGATAACCTCCCTTGTGATTACCGCCCTTCTGATAGCCTCCCTTGTGATTACCGCCCTTCTGATAGCCTCCCTTGTGATTACCGCCCTTTTGATAGCCTCCCTTGTGATAACTTCCCTTCTGATAACCTTTCTTGTGATTAGTGCCCTTGTGATAACTTCCCTTGTGATTACCGACCTTCTGATAACTTCCCCCTTAATACGTCCCATGCAATATAATCTCCCTGGTGATTACTGCCCTTCTGATAACCTCCCTTGTGATTACCGCCCTTCTGTTAACCTCCCTTGTGATTACCTTCCTTCTGAAAGCCTCCCTTGTGATTACCGCCCTTCTGATAGCCTCCCTTGTGATAACTTCCCTTCTGATAACCGCCCTTGTGATTAGTGCCCTTGTGATAACCTCCCTTGTGATTACTGACCTTCTGATAACCTCCCTTGTGATATAACTCCCATGTGATTACTGCCCTTATGCTAGCCTCCCTTGTGATTACCTTCCTTCTGATAACCTCCCTTGTGAATATGTCTCTTGTGTTATAATTATAACCTCCCTTGTGATAACCTCCCTTGTGATTACCTCTCTTCTGATAACCGCCCTTCTGATAACCTCCCTTGTGATTACTGCCCTTCTGACAACCTCCCTAGCGATTGCCTCCTCTGTAATTGTGTAAGTAATTACCTATTGCTTGTGTCTACCTGCTTGTTTGAGGTTTACATCCCAGACAAGCTTTAACATTTACCATGTAATTAGGTACATACCAAACTTAAATAGCGTCACATTGTTATCATGTTTCAGTACAATTCCAAATATTTCTGTAAAGGTTCAGGTTGCTGACTAGATCTTAATAAGTAACAGGTTACCTCTTATTCGCGAAAAATGAATTATGTTAACCCATCAAAAGTTAGTCTCAGAGTACAGCATATAAACCAACTCTGGAATTTCACAATGAAACCCATTGAGGGTGAAGTATTAGAGATACACTTTTGTATACCTCAGAGATTCCCCAGGAAACTAATTGAGGGCAAAGGTCAGAAATCCATCATTTCTATAAATTTCTATAAACTGACACTGACTTTTGCCATGAAACACATCAAAAATACACAATGTATCTGATCAAGTTAACTCTGAGTTTCACCAAGAAATCCATTGAAGATTAAGTCGCGGAGAAATACATAATTTCTATATAATTTATCTCTGAGTTATATGAAACCTATCAAAGATTAATCTTCAAAATACATAATTTCTATATAATTTACTTCTGAGTTACATGAAACACATCAAACAATGTTTTAAGGTTAAGTCTTACAAATAAACAGTTTTTATAGAAGTTTCCTCAGAGTTTTACCCTGTGACCCAGTAATTAAGAAGGGTAAATCTTACAAATAATAAGTTTTTATAGAAGTTTCCTCAGCGTTTTACCCTGTGACCCAGTAAGAAGGGTAAATCTTACAAATAATAAGTTTTTATAGAAGTTTCCTCAGAGTTTTACCCTGTGACCCAGTAAGAAGGGTAAATCTTACAAATAATAAGTTTTTATAGAAGTTTCCTCAGAGTTTTACCCTGTGACCCAGTAAGAAGGGTAAATCTTACAAATAATAAGTTTTTATAGAAGTTTCCTCAGAGTTTTACCCTGTGACCCAGTAAGAAGGGTAAATCTTACAAATAATAAGTTTTTATAGAAGTTTCCTCAGAGTTTTACCCTGTGACCCAGTAAGAAGGGTAAATCTTACAAATAATAAGTTTTTATAGAAGTTACATCAGAGTTTTACCCTGTGACCCAGTAAGAAGGGTAAATCTTACAAATAATAAGCTTTTATAGAAGTTTCCTCAGAGTTTTACCCTGTGACCCAGTAATTAAGAAGGGTAAATCTTACAAATAATAAGTTTTTATAGAAGTTTCCTCAGCGTTTTACCCTGTGACCCAGTAAGAAGGGTAAATCTTACAAATAAACAGTTTTTATAGAAGTTACCTCAGAGTTTTACCCTGTGACCCAGTAAGAACGGTAAATCTTACAAATAAACGTTTTTCATAGAAGTTACCGCGGAGTTTTACCATGTGACCCAGTAATTAAGAAGCGTAAATCTTACAAATATACAGCTTTTATAGAAGTTACCTCAGAGTTTTACCCTGTGACCCAGTAAGAACGGTAAATCTTACAAATAAACGTTTTTCATAGAAGTTACCTCGGAGTTTTACCATGTGACCCAGTAATTAAGAAGGGTAAATCTTACAAATATACAGCTTTTATAGAAGTTACCTCAGAGTTTTACCCTGTGACCCAGTTAGAAGGATAAGTCTTACAAAAAATCAGTTTTTATATAAGTTACCTCGCAGAAACAATCGGTTTTGATAGAAGTTACCTCGGAGTTTCACTCTGAGACCCAGTAAGGGTAAACCAGACACATCCACCATCTTGGTTTCTACGCTGTCATTGAATCAACACTTTGGTGTAGAAAGATAATTTCGTAAATATTACACGTTCACTTCTGTTACGTGTGTTATCCATAACGGCACTAAACAAGTAAACAACGGATATCTCCTGTGTAACCATTCAATTATCACCAGTGTAGTAATTCTCCGTCAGGAACCGAACTCCATCATCAACTCAATGTCTGGCCGATCACAGGATCTCCCTATTGTATATTTAATATCCCAGAGTCAAACAGAGACAAATCCACAGGAAAGGGCTCCCACATAATCCTCCAGGTGTGAAATAAACACAGTACAGAAAACCAATTTAAAAGTTTAAAATCTTCCCCACTAGTGTTGGATTTTTTGTCGTGGTGACTGACCACGGGAGTTCCATATATGAGCTAGTTCTATCCACTGGGTGTAAACATGTTCCTAAGCCCTGAACAGATCCCGGACAACGTCCCTACAATGGTTTCAATAGATTGTGTGCGCACCGCCTATCCCAAACACCCCGACACCGTTATATTTGGTGTAGTTCTTGTCAATAACTATATAGTGCTATGTTTTTTAAGTTCAACAAGCTTCCAGCTAAAACCTTCTAACTCGAAAGTACAGCTTAATTGTTACTTCAAACTGCCAATTTGTTTTCAGGTAAATGTTTCCTTCCTCTTTTGAACTCTCTTGACAAACTCTAAGTGACATTTCTTGTGTAAACAGTGTTTTGCGAGACAAACATTAGGTGAGACTGTTACGACGGCGGCGTAGTGCTAAGCTGATCAGAACAGTACACCACGGTTGATAGTGATCTTATCCAACAATATTATTATTACAGTTGGTCTAACAGAGGGTGCCACCTTTCAACCATAGCTCAGTGACGTCTATCTATATTTCAGTAGAAATATTGCTGCACTGAAATCATTAGAACTATATATATGTATGGGCTGACAAGCAACTATTACCAGGCCTTGAATAGAGAGCTTATAGCCACGACTGCCATCAATCAAAACTTCCTTCCAGTATTGTTAGCTTAACGTGTCTCAGTCACAAAAGTGACTGGTTAGGACCAGTCGAGCAAGTCCTTGTTCTCAACATCAGGAGCAATTACGATCTTTTTGTTTTCAAGATCAGGGTGATTTAAAATTGCAATAAAACGCGATAAACTTCCGTTTTTACGAAATATTTTGAGGTTTAAAGTTCAATTTTGTTGCATTTAGCACTAACCAGACTACAATAGTATTCAGTCTTGGCTTTCAACTTTTAACAATCCAGGCTTTTGTTGGGGACAAAAGAACTAACCAAGACAAAGATTGATAAACCAACTTCATACTATCACAAACAAACGTGTTTACCTGTGCTGAAAATACCTGTTACCCTACTACCTGTTTACGACCTGTTAATTATCGTTTCAACACAACCTATCAGACTGATTGCATACCCACACGAGAACCCGGGCTCGTCAAGTCTTCTCAGAATGAATTTATCCAGGTATGTCTTTGCCCAAATTTAGTTTATGTCATTAAACGAGTTAAAAATACCTGGTGCGTCACTTACATAATTCTTGGCTCATATGTAATAAATCTTTCTCATGTTTTATAAATCCAGGCCACAAGGTATTCTATGGAGCTGATCAGAAATGCTAACCTATTATGTACCTTGTTAAATTTAAATTTAAATCTGGATGTACCTGTTTAAATGAGTTAAGCTGTAACAGTCATAAGATCAAGGAGTAAACCATGTAACGGACAAGTCATGTTTGATTTAGTCATGGAAGGCCAGATCATATCCAAGTAGTGTACATGTGTATATCAGGGTTAAAAAGGGTCAATATAGGGTAAGAGGTCAATATAGGGTAAGGGGTCAATATAGGGTAAGGGGTCACTTCAGTGTAGGGGTCACTTCAATGTAGGGGTCACTTCAGTGTAGAGGTCACTACAGTGTAGAGGTCACTTCAGTATAGAGGTCACATCAGTGTAGAGGTCACATCAGTGTAAAGGTCACTTCAGTGTGTCATTTCAATAAAAGGGTCACTTCAGCATAATGGTCACTTCAGTTTGTCATGTCAAATCTTGATTGAGTGCCGTACTTTGTTATAATAACTTACTGACATAAAAAAAATACAAGAGGAAAAGACTGAACGTGTATAGATGGTCTAAGACGGCCCCCAATCATTACAAAATGAACACCACAAGTGACTTGTATGACAGGAACAATTATGATTTATAGGTCAGTCATGAAACAGCCCATCGATTGGCTGAATAACAGGACATAAAGCCAAAATCGCCTATACTTTCCCCACGCTATCATATTTCTCTCAGCAATCAATTTCTTCAACACATATATGAATTGGTAATTCTCTTTTTCCAATTGTTAAATTTCGTTTCACCTTCACTATAAAAACAAGTGTCATTGCCTTAGTATGACAGAAACATGAATATTAAATTCCTATTAATCAGTCACGTTTCCTTCGGGCAGGAAGTGTATAGCATTAATTTCAGTGAAGATACAAATTTGTCTTCAAATGTAAACAAAATTTATCAAATTTTCCAATCAAATAGTTCCACAACTTTTTTCTTCAAAACATGTATATTTGAATTTTAAACATGGCATTACGTAAATATGAGTCCTTATACAAGGAATCGCAACCAACCGTCCTCATTATAAACACGATTAAATGATCATATTGTATTACTTTTCTGCTGATCCCTGTGCATGTAGAGCACCCGTGCTGCCATTCTCCCACTCATCAGCATGCCTCAGTATGGTGGAGTGTGTTGGCACATTAAATCCTCAACGTGATGATGCGCCACATTGACTGACGTACCACAGAACATCCCGAGTCAGGTTCAAATCCTATCAACTCTTTACAGAACATATGATGTCCCACTAGAACCCACACACTCTTCACAGATTTGTGTCACGCTAAATCCCTACTGACTCTACATAGATCATCTGGAGTCACGCTAAAAACCCTGTTCACTTTTTATAAAACATTTGATGTCATGCTAAAATCCCTACAGACTCTACACAGAACATCTGGTGTCAAGCTAAATCCATACAGACTTTTCACAGAACATCTGGTGTCACGCTAAAACCCTGCTCACTTTTCATAAAACATCTGATGTCACGCTTAATCCCTGCTCACTTTTCATAAAACATCTGATGTCACGCTAAAACCCTGCTCACTTTTCACAAAAAATCAAGTCTCGCGCTAAAACCATGCTCGTGTACTTTTCATAAAATACCCAGTGTCCATGCAGCTAAAACCTTACTGACTGCTTATAGACCATTTGTTGTCATAATTGAATGTCTTTGACTGTCCAAACAATGTCCAATATGTCATGGCACATTTCTACTGACTGCGGGAACAACATCTGGTTTCGCATTGAAAATTAACAACAGACTTAAACTGCACATGTTATTTACTGCTAATTTTAACACCTCTCGGACATCTCGATCTCAAGTAGGACACTATTGGACCAAAATATCCTCAATATGATCCAAATTCATCGAAATTCAATGTCACCAAATGTCCAAATCGAATGGGGAATGTCGTTAATGGTCTACCACTCCAAAATATCCACAAACAACGATAAATAATGGCCAGAATGCCCCATCAGTGGGCCACATGTTGTACGAATTCATTAAGGAACTGTCGCCCCGCTGTTGACAGATCCAACCTGTAATATTGGACAGTGCTCGTTCTATGTAAATCAATAGAATTGTAAAGCAGGTGAGATGTTACCAGACACGCATTAAACCTCCTTAAGCCACTGCCAAGTCTTACAGATACCAACTGATGGACTACAATGCTTCCAGATAGAGTTTCAATGCCCAGACAATCACATTTACACATACATACCCGGGGGCCATACGAGGGGGAATTGTAAACAAAGGCATGTGGGCAAATATCTAAACAAACTCATTCTCATAGAAAGATTGAGAAGTAAGATGGACTCGTATTATATGAAGTTGTCATCGCTTCCCTCCCTCCGACAATATCACCCCGACCAACCATACCAAATGTTGGCTGTGTAAGTCCTTCCATTAGTGTGCTACTGAATGGTCGGACCCCACCATAATGAAGTCTGTAGTCCTAACCTTATCTGATAACACTTTTATCAAACCACAACACAAACCGATCAGTTAAAATGGCTGTTGAAAGAATCGACAACAGATCACCGTTAAGTACCTGTGTAACAGAATTGGACAATTCCTTATCGTGATTTTGTCTTTAATCTTTACCGTTTATTATTATATAAACATTGTATATAACAAACAGAACAATTTAGACATATATGTCCCGGGCCACCCCGGCAGGGTAACACTACAGGCTGTCACCTCAGGTAACACAAACAGAACACTAGACATATATGTCCCGGGCCACCCCGGCAGGGTAACACTACAGGATGTCACCTCGGGTAACACAAACTGACTTCTGTTACCCAGGATAAATTACTTTTTAACATCAGAGTAATTTCTGTTTCTATAACCTCTGACAATCAAGTGTTTCTTCCAGTATATGATGTTGTTTCTTCATTAACCTGATCTTAAGCAGGTCTTATAATTCATAACATATAATTCATTGAAAAGATTATCAAGATTTATAGCAACTGAAATGATGTAACAAGAGGCTCAATGGGCCTGTATCTGTAAAACAATGATGATGGCAAATAGATCTTACATTACTGACCTTCAAAGCGATTTAAGGTCAATTTTATTTACAAAAATGAAATAACAAGATTTAAACTTATCTTGCTCAAGCAACCTTCAAATTTGATTCATATCACTTGATATGGCTTTTCACACCAGCACGCTACAGGCCAATTATCATTACCATAATCCTCTTGGTTATTCAGAAAAAGTGGTATAAAATAAAGTTTTAGATCGAGAGCCCTTTTCCTCAGCAAGCTACATGCGAAATTTCATGACCCGAGACTGCTTGGTTATTCAGAGGAAGTTGTTTAAATCTTAAATATACATCAATTTACACCAAGTAAATGTGACTTTGAAAGTGGATCTAGATCGTTCACCCCAGCAAGTTACAGTCATAGCATTATGTCCTGATAGGCATCTTGGTTATTCAAGAAGAAGTTGATTGATATGGAGGAAAGGTGCTACACTTTAGCCGAAGTTCCTCTGCACTTTGTGTCAGGTGAGCTAACAAAATCCTGCCACACCAAAACTCCCAGCTATGTTAGTTATTAGGGGTATAATGATATGTGGAGGGCTGAAGAAAGAAAAGATTTGATGTAGGTGATATGTTATCGATCCCCAACCCATACTTGTATATGTATCGGAGCTAGATGGCCAGTTAATGTCATCCACGAAAAGGAGTGGGCTAGAATTGGCAGCTTAACTCATTCACCCCTAAAGACACATTTAAACTGTTCCAATTCAAAGGTTGGAATAGTTCATTATTAAATTTCAGGGGTGAATGAGTTAAAATGTGAACGTGGGAAGATTTATTTGGTATAGCGAGAGATAATTAGCAATAAGTACAGTAATGGCAGCTTCACTTTTCATTGTATCAGCTAATCACATGGTACAACATGCTATATGTCAACACGGTAGCCAAAATTCATTAAGAGTTATTCCCCTTTAATTCCAAACCTGGTTAGCTTCAGGTAAAGTGAGGGTTCTAAAAGTTGAATTTAAAAACAAATACAAAATCTTTTCATGTCAAAATTACAGGGATATACACTAACATGAAGTAAAAACTGAATTTTGTTGAAATAAGACTTGAATTCACTAAAACTGACCGCCATCAGTTTAATGTTTACACCCATCATATCACTCTTCAAATGAGGTGAATTTCTCCCTCCTCCCCCTCCAATCTTTCCTAATACGAGGTGAACTATCTTTATTTAACACCCCCCCCCCCCCTCCAAAGCTAACCTTCTATGGGGTGAAGTACCTATATTATCTCCCCACCCCCAATCTATCCTTACATGAGGTGAATCATTTTTATTTTTTTACCCTTCCCTAAAAAGAAAAAAACCTAGGTAAATACATGTAACCATTTGATTCACCCTTACCCTGATATATCCTTATATGTGGTGAATTTACTAAAAAAAAAATTACCCTTTCCCGGTTCAATNCCCCCCCCCCCCCCCCACCCCTCTACTGTCCTTGTCTGAGGTGAATTATCTATATTTACTTTCCCACCCCCCAATCAATCTATCCTTATAAGGAGTGAATTATCAATATTTAACAAACCAACCCCCAACCTCTTCCCCCAAACTATTCTCCAATGAGTTAAATTATCTATACCCTCCTATGTAATATTCAGGTGCAAGTATATTTCCACTCCTAGCTATGATACAGAACCATGTACCACATATAATTTTTATTATAGGCTTAAAACTCGATCTGAAATTTGTTCTGTTAATACTTCCCTGTTAAATGTTTTATACTGAACAAATCATTGAATTGAAACGAGAAATAAGTTTTATTATATTTTTTTTTTACATTTTATAATATTTAAATGTGACATCATCATTTTTTGCACACGTCACTGTTGTTAAGTTTCAGAGCTCCTGGGAAGTAGATTGAGAATTTAATGAAATTTTACACAGTTAATAAAGAGATTATAGCTCTAGGTAACACAACATCTCTACATTCTCTACATTTCTTTTCTGTAAACAACACTTACTTTTCCTGCCCCAAATGTACTTTTTATACAACAAAGGAGGGTCGGGACCGATGTCTATCGTTTCCTTGTTAGTATCCCGCCATGTTCCACACCTACTTTTTTCCTGTTCTATGACACTGACCCGTGCCGAGGGGTGACGTTTGTAATAACTCCTGTATCGATCATCCCAGTCAACTTTAGGATGTGTCGCCATGGTAGCAAACATGATTTTTCCTCAATTGTTCGATATTGATAAAAAGTAGTAAAAAGCACTTCTATATCCTAAAAACCTTCTAATTCCGGAAATCTTGTAAACTAGTATTGTCCAAATAAAGCATCAAAATAAAAAAAGTTCCCAATTTTTTTTTCGAACAATATGTCTTTTCAGCTTTCAGTCACACTCTCTATTGTAGGTCTTAGTTCACAAAATTTTATAACCTGAAATTTTGAAAATTTCCATCAAATGTTCTTGGTTTTTTTAACACAGGTTTGAAGTAGCTGGACTCTTAAATTAATAATTGCGTGTCCGGGATCACTTCCTTTTAACCACCACATACAGAATAAAGAAAATTGTGCAAAAATCTCACTCAAAGAAATGCACAAAATATAGTTGACCTAAACGATGTGTACATCATATTAAAAAATGTTTCCATGAAATTACAAGATAAACTGCAATGGTGAAACAATAACGTAGAAAAACGAGACCGGACAGGTTTGTAGAACTCACTACGTCCCCGGGCCAGCGTGCTACACCTCCTGTGAGATGGCTCCTAGGTATCACACATAAAATCCCACCATACAAGGGAGAAGTCATTTACACTCGGGTAACCAAGGGAGAAGTCATTACTTCAGATCGTAACTAACACAGAAGCATGAAGCCAAGAGGGAACAATGTGGTTTTAGTAGCTGGAAGTGTTTTCCTTTTCAGTTTTGTAAATCTTTATGACAAGGGATTAAACAAATGGACACCTTCAAATCAGCAGTCTTTCTGGCTATCCAAATAGGGCCGATGTGAACACACACTAAGGCGGAGCTACAAGAATTATTTTCATGAAAATGTATTGAAATGGAAAAGCAGTTATGTTTTTTCTTCCTCTAAATATCAAGCAACTGTATTTTAAGTTTGTAACAGCAATATGGGAATAGTAATTTGGTGGTTTTAAAAGTTGTTAATCTGGACATTTTCCATAAAAAAAATTAACATGAAACATGAAAATTTTACCAGTGGTAAATTCAATTTCAAATTCAGTCATATTTAAGGCATTTTCAGACCATTAGGATTGAAGAAAGTTTGAAAAATCTACTACAAAAGGTGAAATTTGTGAGAAAAAATCAAAGAAAACATTTAACATTAATTTTATGGACACAGTCAGCTCCCAGCTTTTAAGAATATAAAAACATATGGTACCTATGACTATACCCTTTTACCCAATTTTAAAATGCTTTAGTACCTGAATGAGATAGGTAAAGCCTGTTACAATTCTTGTTAAGGAATTCAGCCCAATGTAATTCTCTGACAGTTACTGGAAAGGATTTCTTGGACAATTTCTATCAAGTTTGCGTAAGATAGGATTTTTTTCAACTGCTTAATTCGTAAATTTTCGATTTCTTTAAATGAAGACTATATATATAACGCCCCCTTTACCCCCTGATTATAGACTAATTAAGCAGTTATATTGAGGGGATTCCAAAACAATTTTATCGATTATTTAATTTAATCTTATTTGGGAAAGAAGACAATTTGAATATGGGACTGAAAAAATAAGTCTTTGAAGTGCCAACAGTATTTAGAGGCAGACATGGAGCATAACCGTCTTAATCAAAAACAAAGGTTGGACATGTTTTATTTTTACAATTTTGTCTCATAAAACCTTTGTGTTTAAGCAACCAAATTTATTACTAGACTTATGACTCCACTTCTGAAAAGGCCAGTGGCCTCTCTGAATACATCTCTGTTCTTTGCTGAATTAATCACTCATAGAATTTAATATAGAAAACATGGCCTCAAGACAAGTAGAGTTCTGGGCGAGAATGGGTTCGGGTTAAAATAAACTCTAAGAATGTTGTGTATAGCTAGATGCAATTTTTATTAGATTTAATTCCGTCTCCCCACTCAGCACAATGTTAAAGGTCTACCCATAAAACACAGCCTACCCCATTACCATCTAACAATGTCAAATACAGGCATGTCACCACGTTACCTTTGA